TATAGTAAATACTTAGGGCCCAATGGGGTTCCCATATACCTACATTGAGGCCCAAGTATACCATATAGATACATGGACCCTTTGGGTTCGGCAAGCTAGAGGTCTTTCGTTACAGAGGCGGTCGACAGCCGTCATGGCAGAAACTAGTCAGACCAGCTTGGATTTGCAGCGCTGCACGGCCTCAGCGTGCCATACAGAAGAAGACAGGGGACTTAGCCATCGGTTTGTGGCCGTTTGCGATTGGAAAATGTAGAAGGCTCTGCCTGATCTACTTACTTTCTAACCGCCACATCACGCAAGATCCCAAAACTGTTCCAGGAACCTGCGCGGAAAGCTCCCGGCACCCCACTAGCCGCACTGCGGCGGCTGCGTCTACGCGAGAAAATGGTGACTCAGCTTATTTCTTTGAGGGGGGGTAGGAGGTATTTTTTGATGCTGCAAGGATGATGAGGGGTTTGGGGTCTGAAGGTCTTCGGTTCCAGCGTTTGCAGGTTGTTTAGGGTTTGGGCTCAGGGTCAAGAACAGGATCAGTAATGGGAGGATGGGAGGAGCATCAGCAGGTGGAGCAGTGCGAGCAGACATGAGGCAACAGCAGCAGTAGTAGCAGTAGCGGTGGCGGAACCAGAGGACCTGGCAATTGCCGCAGTAGTTGTGGTAGGACGAGCCGCAGTGGTACTAATCCATCCCCCATACTACTAACCCCACAACCCCCCTCTAGCAATAAATACCCCAATCTAATGTAGCACCGTTATTTGAGAGCTGAGTAGTTATCATTGAAAGGTGTGGGTTCTTAGGGGAGGGGATTACGATTTTTGAGAGCCCGTTTTGCAAATCTCTGCCATGCAAAGCACACGATCTAGGCAGGATGGGTAATGCCCGGCAACAAGAGTCTTGTAACGTCCGGATTCAGAGGTTGGAGGTTTCCAGCAGAGGCTCGTGTAAATTGATGAACGTTGAGAGGACAGGCAAACTGTTTTCAAGGGGCCCTCAGGGACCAATACAAAGCAAGCCAATACAAGTAATCCCATCCCCCTAATATTAAACCCCCCCCAACCCCCCTCACGGGAGTATTTCCACTAGGGGGGTGAGGGGGTGTCAATATTGGGGGGAGGTGATTACTCTCTTTCGCCATCATCATGGCGACCCTCACTATCCCTCTTTACTACGAAAACCCAAAACCTATACATTAAACCCTCGCCACAACCTCTTGAACCCCAGGATCTGCCCCGCCCCAAATCCCAAATTCTCACGTCGTGAGCGCACAGTGCTTGTTTTTTTTTGAAGTGCGGGCCCTTTCCTGCGCCCTACTTGGAGGGTCCTGGAGTTGGGTAACATAGTGTGTCCCACTACCCCTTTACAGTAGCTTACCTACGTACTGGCAATGCGAACGTCCCGCAAAGTACACACAAGGATGCATTGCTTCGCCCCACCATGGGGGTGACGTCGCAGCCCATCATCCTCGCACGCGGTGCAGGTTTGCCGGCTTCTTCTTTGCTTGAATAACTTGGGTTCAGTGGCTTAGCGCAAATTTGTGCGTATATGCACCTATGCGTGACTTCACGCAAGCATCGCTTGATGTCCTGCCCTGGTGTGATAAACGAAAGTCCTTACTGCCAACATCCCATCCATGGTCTTTGGTTTCCCACGTGAACAAGATAAACATAGCGTGATTTGGGTCAAGATGGTTTGATTCATGGTCAGCGTCTTCGATGTGTCAAGAAAAACAATCACTCCTGCGTGCCTCATATGAGGAATGAAAATGGCACAAGATTATGTTCGTCTAGCGGCCGTCATATGCGACTGGAGCATCGGCATTTCATCCACCAGGTACCCTCTCCAGACAGAAGGACAGTAGCCTCTAACAGGGCCCGTTTAAGGCAGCTTGCCGGAGGGTAGCCTGTTCCTGCCGAGACCCCTAGGAGGATCTAAAGATTAAATCCCCAGTACAAAGCCATACTAAACCCTGCACAATTCCTATATGATTCCCCGTAGTCTTCTGGGGGATCTGATTTTTAGATCTCGTTTCGGGTCTGAGTACAGTAAGGGGTTCTTGGCATGGACCTCTTTTACCCTCTTGGGTTCTCACACATCCCCAGAACGCAAGGGCCCTCTTTTTAGAAACCACCAAATCATAATCCCCAGCCCTAGTACTGCAAAAGCGAACATAAGAGCCAAAGCCCAAGCCCCAAAAATCTCAGCCGCTGCTGTGTTTGCTTGAAACACTCTAGAGTATACCAGCTTGTCTGAATACAATCCTCACCAGGACACCGCCCTAAACCCTAAACCCTATCGGGTGCTTCAAGGTGCAAGCCTCACAAGCTCCTCAGGTAAAGGGTACTGGTGTCCAAGCCTTAGACACCCGTAAGTCCTGACCGTGAAGACCAGGTCTCAGGCTTTCAAAAGGCTAGCAAATCGGTGAATGAGCTATAGTCTAACGTCCATAAGGGGTTTACATAAGGGATTATATAGGAGAGCAGTATGGGGGGTTATTAAGGCGGATCCTAGAGGTTTAGACTTTTGCTCATATAGCCTACTTGAACCTACCCAAAAACCCCAAAGGCATGAGCTCCAACAAGAGCCTAAGCCCTTTCGACAGCTTAAAACCCTATACCTAAACCCTAAACATCCCTAAGCCCTAAAACCTAGAGCTTATAGTGAACCAATGAGCTTAGCTTTGCAGGCATCTCGCCCTTGGATTGGTCGTTCGAAGGCGCATCGTGGGCACTAGAAGGTCCAATGAGCCATAGTCGAAACTCCTAGTATCCCCCTTAATAACCCCTATTATGCTCCCCTATATAATCCCCTATATAACCTCCCTTTCAGGAGTTTACACTACAGCTCAAAGAATCACAACCCCCCTACATCTATTAAGCACCCCGCCCCACCCGCAATGTTGAACATTGTTCGCAGCATATAGGGCGCTACTATCAGGAATCATGAGGACTACGCGGGGGTGTGTTCCCACGAAGGAAGTTGGCTCCGTTGCTGTTGCTCCAGTTTGCTGTATATATCCCTAAGGGTCATGCTGTCGCATCCCTTAGCCGTGTTTTGTTGCGCCCGTATTAAGACGAGGCCTGGGATAGGTTGCGAAGAGAGGTTCAGAGTCTTGTCTGGCAACCTACAAGACTCCTTAGAATTCCCTTTTTCGTGGACGATCTCCCGGCGGGTCGGGCCGGGTCTAGGTTCACGATATGTTTCAGATCTAATTCGTTGTGTGCGCGTGCTTCGTGCCTGGATGGAGAGTGGATGCGATGCCTGGCTGAATCATGGATGAGAAACTTGTGAGTCGCTGTGCAAGACGCTTTCGGGACAACCATTCCCCAGTTTTGCTGCAGAATTCAAGGTTCCTGTCAGCTTTTATATGGCAACGAAGAAAGTATCGTAAGTTGATAAGTTTTCCGGTGTCCAATTTTCGTTGCCACGAACTGACGGCGCAAATTCTGCCGGCGTGGCTCGAAAGCTGTACTAGATTACAGAAGTCACATGACAGTAAGTAGTCCAAGTTCATCCTTAGCGCGATGCTAGAAATTCGCGCGCGCGCGGGGGCCGCCAAATGGTGCCTGTTCTCGCGTGCCCCCCCCCCGGCCACTAGCCTGTGCGACCCCAAGCAGACGGTCAGTTCCCAAATGCATATTCCCATGCGCGTCTCTCTTTGAATTTGTTCTGACCTTTCCCTGGACGCGCAGAATTTTGATTGCTCGAGGGCATAATTAGGAATGGCCTGGCTAATTGTAGACTTTGCACTTTCGATTGATTTCTCCCAATCAAATCCCTAAACCCTAAAACCCTACAACCCTAAACCCTAAGCCCTGGAACCCTAAACCCCAAAATTCCTAAAACAAAACCCAGGATGTTCCCTAAACCCGGGCATCTCCTGTCCACAACAACAACAACAACAACAAGAAGCGC